CATCACCAGAACCGAGGGATAAACCACTATCGTATTACTGTAGACCGGTTTGTGTCATTGTACGAAAGGGCTGGATGATTATAGGCAATAAGGGTAGTACTTTCTATCAAATGATCATTAAAAAGCACACGAAAAACTTTATTAAAAAATTGATTTTGCAATATATTTCACTATTTGTTCGGCATTCCTGTATCACTCTACATGATTGTATTCCATTGCTTATTCGATAGCGCTTAGAACAGCTGTTAATTTGTCTTACAAAACGCTATTATAATATTCAAAACAAAAGCTAAATAAAAAAGAAAGTAGACTGGCTAAAGCACCATGTTATCAATAAGCATAAAGCACTTTACTATAACAAAAGATGAATGCCCTTCATTCGGGTTATTACACCCGACAGTAGTGTTTTAAAAAAATTACACAAATTATTACCAATTTAAAAAACAATTTTGATTTCGAATGCATCAGCGTGGTTTTATTGTTTATTATAACGAGTTGTTGTGCTGGCGCGCAATCCTGGAAGTCTCACGTCGGTTTTCTCAAGTCTCTGAGCTTCTTGGCTTGAGTCTAGGTATTATAACCGTAGTTAACTTAAACTTGTTTTCTTAATGCCTTTTTACCATGTAGCATCGTTCTTTTGAAGAATGGGCTTTGATACTATCAACTACTCGCATCCCAGAACCTGCGGTCAGGGAAGTCGCTGCTGTCGTGTTTGCTCCAATAGACATGGGCTCATCCGCAAATACGGTCTGAACATGTGTCGTCAATGCTTCAGACAATATTGTGCACTCATTGGTTTCAAAAAGCTTGACTAAATAATTGTTCCATTTGGTGGGTTCGTCACTGCCGCTTTTGTGATTTTCTGGTGTAATTTGTAACCTTCTTGCGTACTTAAGGTATGACTTGCCAGTAGCATAATGTAATTTGGTCACTATCGCTGTAGTTAGTGTATTTTGTGCATTTCCTCCAAATTCTTGCAGTCTGGTCATTTGAAAATCAGTTTGCCACTTTGGTGTACTAACTGGTTCTTGGTAGTTTTTCAGTTCACTGTCGGCATCCACGTTTACTATCGTTTAAAATATGCCTTCACTTTTTGGACACCGTAGATGTGAATTTTCTCGTAGATTAGATGGATTTTTCACAACTAAAATTTTCACTC